TTATTTAGTCTATAGAACGTTAAATGAAACAGTGTAAAAACAGAAATAAAGAACACATAAAATTGCACTAATTTCTCTAAAAGATAAGCACTTCAGTCTAAAGATATCACTTTTATTTACAGTTTTGTCAGACAGAAAATTTGAGTTGACACTTATGACGTTTAAACAGCTGTACTAAAAGTGTACGCATTCTGTGTTGCCATCTATTGTACTTGACAACCTATTTGATGTGACGTAAAAACGGACCTCGAGTGACCCCAGGGAAGGTTTATGGATAATTGAATTTTTAAAAATGTGTTTCTAACAAAATTCGATTTTTGAAAATTTTAAAAATCCACGAATTTCTTTTTTAAATCCGCGAAATTTTTGGTTTTGTTTTCCTTTTACAATGTATACAAAAAAGACATGTTCACAATTGAACAAGAAGTTGAGCGCGAAGCCTAGTGTTCTATAATTACATAAAAAAATATATATATTAGGCACGAAACCCCGATGCAGAAAATGATAAGAAATATCTCCGAGGCCCAAGTACTATGTGTACTGAGCTGAAAACTTTAGAATGAGATATCCTTAATCACGGTCGCTTAATCTGAGTATCCAATATACCCATTTTTTATTTTTTTATTAATCCTCTTTTTTTGGATATCCTTACTGTATAAAAGATACGTTTGATAACAATTACAGATACAATGCTATATCGATTGAACTAATTGAATTTAAATCAGGTGTTCACAAGCCGGCTTTTAATGCATTTAAACAAATATAAACTTTACCATGTTAATATGAACTTATTAAAAACATATTTTATCACATTTAGGACCAATGTAGATTTTAAACGTTAGTCTTAAAAAACATTGATCCAAAACTTACGTTGGTTCAATTGATATGACACAATCAACACCAAACTTCTTTCTTGGATATCGAATGCGTATTAAAATAATCTCGGGTTTAGTAAAACCAGGAGTTTAAGCATTAATCTTGATATCCATCATTCTTAAGTTTTCAGCTCTGTTCCAACATTGTGAAATGCACTTTTAGATATTTTTATTTAACTTTCAATAGAAATATTTTTACACAAAAGTATTGTTAAATCTACTTTAACCCAACTCTTCTATAAAAAAAAATATAGTTCATGAACGGGTTTTTAATGAGTTATGATCAAGTTATAATCTTGTTCTACAAATATAACATATTTTTCATGTTTAAGTTATACATTTTGGAGCTTATAGTCTGTTTACCAAGAGATTTAGACAATAGGTTTAAATGGGAAATCTGTCCAAATTTTTGAATGTCTTTTTGTTCAACGATGATAGTTCTGAAGGATATGCACTTATTCAGGATTTGAGCTTGAAAGGGGGAATATAAGTGTGTACAAGGTTTCATGTTGATCTTGACAATTTTCAAGTTTGTCGTTTCTTCGTCAGGTTTTTAAATAAATTGAGTTTTTGCCACAAACTCTGATTTTCTAATCCCTTTATATCTTTTCAACCCAATGTCGTATAAATTCTGTAAAATCAAATAATCAAAGTTTTAAAGGTAAAGGGATTTGAGTTTGTGGCAAAGACTCAATTCCTTTCAATCTGAGTAACAGTGTAGAAGCAATCGTCGTTTTTCCAGAGAAATAGAAAATAATCTAATTTTAGCCAAAACAAGGATAGCTCATTCATTTAGTATTAATCAAAGGTTTTAAAGGTACCTTCATAAATCTGACATGCCACTTTCAGTATGAACTTTCTTTATTTCCCCCGCCCCGTAACGTACTGTTAGAAACGTTATGTGACGTACTGTTAGAAACGTTATTATAAGAAAATAGTCGCGAGTAAAGTTTCATTCCGAAGCTAAAATCACCCCTATAAAAAGAGGCACGTTATACTCGTAGCACCTTGGAATTCTATTTTATTCTAAAATATTAGAAGGAAAATTTCTTGTTTGATAAATGTTTAAAATCTACTGCTAAATCTCTAGATAAACATAAGTTAAATTAACATTAGTCAGAACACACTAAGAAGTAGACATTACTGGTACAAATTTGAGACCTCGTAACTTCTTTAGTTTTGATTTTACTCACAAGTATGGGGAGGGCAAATTTATCTGGTTGCATTTTATTCATAACTCTTTTCTTCTTCTTAAAACAAGTGAACAAAATATCTACATTTTAAATATTTATTAAACAGAAACATAGATATTTCATCAACAATTTATAAATATACGATAAACAAATGAATAAATGTCCATGCAATAAATATATAATAAATATAAACTATAAATAGACATGTAACAAGAGGATAATATATAATATTGCTTGTAGAAGTATATATAAAACTACAAGATAAATGGTGGATTCACGTGAATTCTATCTCTGATTGAATTTTTAAAAAAAACGTATTTTCTTGCTAAAAAATAACTGTTTGCTGCTTTCCTAAAAAAAAACTGTATTTTGAACAATTTCTTTGAATCTTTAGGTTTTATTTTATTTTTAAACCGATTATGATGAAACGTATTTAAATATACAGTAAAAGAATGTATATTAAGTTCGGCGCCAAACCATTCAATATTTCGTGATTGAGGACAATCAAGAAATATGGGATATCAAGCATTTTTTTATAATTGGATATATGCAAACATTTGTGTGGAGGTGAACAATAGTTTTAAACAGTTTATTATTTCATAATTTATTTGTAAAAATATTCGATCTTAATTGTACATTCATTTTTATTATTACGTTTACAAGAAAACATTAATATTTATCATTTGTATCTACATTTACAACAGCATTAACGATAATATAGTTTATAGCACTAAAACATGTTTTGTATACGACAATTAATTTAACAATTAACAGAGAATGAAAGACAATAATTTGAAGAACAAATCGATGATGTAGACCTTTGATAATTCAAATTAAGATGTTTTGATCCAACAGAATTCATCGTTTAAAATATCTAAGGTCTACGACTTGGGTTCTAAAGATATAGAGATCAGAAAATCAGAGTGTGTGGCGAGGATTCAATTCATTTATTGATTACTAGCTCACAGTTTTTTTAACCCGGTGAATGATGAGTGAAACAGTTTATTTTCATTAGATATCAACAATCAACATATCAACAACTTCTGGTTTTCTGCAACAACGAATATTTAAAACACGATAAAAGGGTCGCATAATATGTGCATACAGACCTGAAAATGGGTAAAATGTGAAAACATCTGCTGGGTTTAGACTTAAGACATTCGGGGTTTCAATTTTTTTGTTTCTGTAAATTTAGGTTGTAAAAATCATGTTTATGTAACAAACCCCACATAACAAGGACATAAATATCTCTTGTCTCTGGCATCATGTTATTTAGCTGAAAACTATTTATATTGTAATTATCAAAACAATTTTGCTTAATGTTAATTCTTGATGTTTAAAAGTTTGAATTACGAAAAGAACTGCAGTCACAGCAAACAATTGCCTCACCTCCACCCAAAAATGTTGATGTTGATGTTGATGTTGATGTTGATGTTGATGTTGATGTTGATGTTGATGTTGATGTTGATGTTGATGTTGATGTTGATGTTGTTGATGTTGATGTTGATGTTGATATTGATGTTGATGTTGATGTTGATGTTGATGTTTAGATGTAAACAGCGTTGTTGAAAGATTCTTTCATCCTAAAAAAATATCTTGAAGTTTATTTGATTTTAGCTAAAATTTATAGTGACATAAATAAAATAGTGTAGTACAAGGGTAGATATAGTAAAATTAGTAAACTGCTTAGTAAAGTACAGTTTACTGTGCAGTAAAGTACAGTTTACTGTGCAGTAAAGTACAGTTTACTGTGCAGTAAAGTACAGTTTACTGTGCAGTAAAGTCTTTTTATTTGGATGTTTCTTTTTGAATGTCCGATCATAAACAGAAGAAATTGCGATGCTTAAGAATTGTACTTTGAACGTTTTTAAAAATCAGACAATTACAGGTTACAAAATTCGGTAACCGCAAAAAAGTTCTCAAAAAAATTTTCGGAAATAAAGTCCTAAATTTTTACACTAAAAAGTCCTTGAAATAAAAAATCTCTGAAAATAAAGTCCTACCATTTTGAGACTTTATTTCTTGAGACTTTTTTATGGTTCCGTATGATTTTATGCAAAAAAGTCTCCGGAAATAAAAGTTATTTTACAGTGTAAAATGCATGGAAAAATAGGATGTTTACAACCATGACAAAGGATGTTCACAACCGTGGAAACAAAGGATGTTTACAACCATGTAAACAAAGGATGTTTACAACCATGTAAACAAAGGATGTTTACAACCATGGAAAAAAGGATGTTTACAACCATGGAAAAAGTATGTTTACAACCATGGAAAAAAGGATGTTTACAACCATTGAAACAAAGGATGTTTACAACCATGGAAAAAAAGGATGTATACAACAATGGAAACAAAGGATGTATACAACCATGGAAACAAAGGATGTTTACAACCATGTAAACAAATGATGTTTACAACCATGGAAAAAAGGATGTTTACAACCATGGAAACAAAGGATGATTACAACCATGGAAAAAAGGATGTTTACAACCATGGAAAAAAAGGATGTTTACAACCATGGAAAAAAGGATGTTTACAACCATGGAAACAAAGGATGATTACAACCATGGAAACAAAGGATGTTTACAACCATGGAAAAAGAATGTATACAACCATGAATAAAAGGATGCTTACAACCATGAAAAAAAGGATGTTTACAACCATGGAAAAAAGGATGTTTACAACCATGGAAAAAAGGATGTTTACAGGGCTACAGAAAATTGGGACTTTTTAACCAAAGTTTTTATTTCCAGGTTTTTTTTCAGAAACTTTTTAGATAGATTTTAAAATTCATTTCGACATTTCTTGAATAAAAGGAAGAACAAGGACGACCACAGTTTTTGGTTCTCTAAAGAGAAGAAATTTATCTAAAACCATGATCGTCTCACTCCTGTATGCCGAGTCCATTTGGGCCTGATCCAATCAGGGTTTAGTCATGTGTTTGTTGTCTATTCTGAACCAATAGAAATAGTTTGGAGGTAAAATCTATCTATCTATCTATCTGATTAACCAATTAGAGATATAAATTCTTCAATCGGTGTTATCAGTAAATAGTCATATTTACTTCTACTGAAACTATGGTGGTCTAATCACCTGGGGGTTGAATCCAAAATAGATAAAAGGATCAACGCAAACATTCGCCTACACCAACAGATTATTAAATATAAAATATTGTTAATTTTAAAATAACAAACTACTATATAATTTAAAGGTTTGTTCTACTGTTTAGAAACACGCGTAATAATCTAATTTTAACTAGGGCCCCGCGTTAATTTGAGACATTTTTATTACTCAAAGAAGTTTCCAAAATACACTTGTTCCGAGTCAAAATGAAGCTGCTTGTCTGTCAAAAAAATGATTTGAGGTAAACTTGATTTCTGTAGATTTGAGCCTTCTGGCTCAGGTAAACCAGTTCAGCTATCTACTCTATATCCGGGGAAAAGACATCACTGCATTTAGCAAAAACCGGATGAGTTTTGAAAGTTTGAACATTCTAGCACTTAGGCCTCTGACATCCTCAGCCAGGTAATAGGCTTATATGTGTTATAAATTTCCGAAAAGAACTGATTTTTTGCCACAAACTCAAATTTTCTAATCCCTTTCAACCTAATGGCGTAAACTAAAACTATTTGATCTAAAAGAACTTTATACATTCGAATATAAAAGGTCTACGAAGATAAAGATAAAGGGAAAAAAATCAGAGTTTGCGGCAATATCTCAATTCCTTTGGGGTGTTCGTCTTTTTTCAAATAAGTGAAAAATTCTTTAAAAATATTTTAATTTCTTATTTTTAAATGACCTTTGTGAGCATGGTTGGTACAGAGTGGAGAAAGTATTCAGCGGAACTAGTAGGCTTGTACCTAAAATATATTTATACATAATTGTCTTTATTTTATTTTACAAATGTTGACACACTTTCTCAGATTTTTCAGACGATTGGAAGTGATCGTTTGAAAAAGTCTGAAAAAGTGTGTAAAAATTTGTAAAATAATGTGAACCAAACATAGTTCACAATTGTAAATAGACATAGTACAGTTAATGCAACTCCAGGATACATGTTTGTACCCAGAGATTTTTATCTATAATTGATTAATATAGATGAATCCCTAATGTTATTAATTAAGAGCTAGCAGTGTATCTTTCATTAAATATATTCTAGAAAGTACAAAAATTTCGAAATAGATCTTTGTCAGCTCTGCTCCTGCACTCCAATCTAGGATTTTCAGGATCATGGATTTAAGAAAATGGCACCGGTCCGGCCCAATCCCCGTACTTTCTGAAGATAAATTTAGCTCCCATGATAAGCTATATTTTCATAAATCATTAAAAGCACGAAATGTGAAAAATTATTTTCCACATGACTTGTTCCTGTGAGATTCTTTTATTTCTAGCTTGAATGGCCAGTTAAGAGTTTTCTCACAAAAAATATCAAATTTTAGGCTTAATCCCATTGTTAAATCATATCTGCAAAGTTCGGAGTCATTTTTTAATATTGAAATTGTTCCCAGAAAAATAGTCTTACAAATAATGGAATTATGGAAGGATAGATTCTGCTTGATTTACAAATTATGGAATTGTTTTTGATGGGTTGATTCAAAGTGATGTACAAATTATTGAATAGTTTCTAAAGAATTGATTCTGAGTGATTTACAAGTTATTAAATTGGTTCAGAATAGGGTTCCAATGCGCTTAAAACTTTTTATTGTAAAGTCTGACTGAATGGTATCCGAATTATTGTCTTTAATTTTAACAAAAACTTGTTATTATAAAGAAAAACAAGACTTTGAGAAAATTCAAATATATGTGCTATACATACATGTGGTAAGTTTTAGCGCGATGATGCGCATAATTAGTATTATACGGATTGATAGTGATTGATTTCTAAAAGTGTAGAATGAACCTACCCTGCTGCCTCGGCTATACTGACACAAGCATAGGGGAACCACAGCAGAAGATAGGAAACCAACTGAAACAAAATATTAATAAAAAAACTTAAATATTTTTTTAACGTTTAATATTTGCGATATATAATTTTCAAAATAATATCTTTAATTGCTTTTCTCTGTAAAATTGACTTGAGAAGCATTAATCAAATAGTCATATTTCAAAAAGATTGATATCTGGTTCATTCTTGAAGAAACACAGCTCCTAAAGATACCGTTATGAATCGGATATGCATGTATATTAATGATCAAGTGGCTTGAAATAATGGCAAAACCATTTAAATTATATTTTAGTTTCTGATTTATTCGAGACAGAAATCAATTCAATTAATTTGAATTGAGTTAATATCGCTTTAATTGATCAAGTTAGTTGAAAGAGAAAGGCAATTAAATTTTAAGTTTAATTTAGTAGTCACATTTAAATAGCATCAAATTTATATCTATATTATGGTTTCAGTAAACTCCTTTCCATGCTATAAAATCAGAAAAAAAGGAATCATTTTTTCATAATTTTGTTTAAAGTTTTTTTTTTAATTGAATCTTTTCTTTTCGAGATTTACGTTTCATTAAAATCTATTAATTTCTATATTAAGAAGTATAAGAACTTAAAATACCAAGAAAATCAAATTGCTTGAAAAAAATTGTTAAATATATATAAAAATTGTTAAATATATATAAATCTGAAAATGTTATCAAAGTTTTTAGCTTTTCAAATAAATATTTAACATATGTTTAGATATTTTCCTACATTAAAGTCAATAAATCTAAAGCTTTGTTTAGAAATTCTGGGATATTGTAAAATGAAATGGATGTTGTTTATAAAACTTGAAATTTTATCTGAATTTCTATTTTGTCATAATTATATTCATGAAAGTTTAATTATCCATTGCTCTCCATGTTCAAGAACTTTCTAGGAAATTAAAATTCTAAAAAGTGTTCTCAGAAAACCTTCAAAATATGTCTAACCTTTTTTTTAATTTTGACATAAATTTCCATAGAGTGATGTTCCTAATTTTAACTTTTCCTGGCAATATGGATTGATCCATCAAAAGTTTGTAAAAACTTTCTGTCTTTATATTAGAAAAATCACAACTTAGGGTTAACTTATCTTTTCAACTTATACAAGTTTATGATGGAACTAAAGGATGAGAAAGGTTTTGAATTTATTGAGCAATTTTTCCTTTGATTTAAGCCTCAAACTCTTGGCCCACTTTCAAGGCTCAGTGAACTGATTTAAGAGATATATTTAAGTTTAAAAAGCAATTTTAAAACAAAATGGGAATATCTTAACTAAACACCGCACAAGAATTTAGGCCCGAAAATGGTGAAAATCATTTTATAACCGTAGTCAGTTAGATTTCAATTTAGAATAAAAATTACCATATTACCATAATTAAATATTATTAGAATAATAATTACCATAATTAAATATTATTAGAATAATAATTACCATAATTAAATATTATTAGAATAATAATTACCATAATTAAATATTATTAGAATAATAATTACGTCAAACTAAAGTAAAATAAACCTAAATATCACGTCAAACTAAAGTAAAATAAACCTAAATAAACCTAAATATCACTTCAAACTTTCTAACAAAAATGTAAAACAATAACAAAAAATAAAAGAAACCAAATAGATCATTATAATAAAAGAGGAAAAAAATTTTGGTGAAAAACACCAAAAAAAACCCCAAGAGAAAAAACAAGAAAAAAAACAAGAAATGTTACCTTGTTCATATTTACAGTTCTGATAATCTTGAGATATGAGGTGAAGATGATTATTACCGGGATAACGAAGCCAAGCATGTAGATGTACGCCACGAAGGAAATCTATAATTTAAAAGATATGAAAATTTTCATTCAAAAAGAGAAACACTGCATGATAAAATATTTCAAAATTTAGAACATATTTTGCCATTTTCTGCCTTAAATAGCAAATAAGGCTTTCTTGAAGTTAATACAATCATAGTCTTGCATATTGCAAATTGAGCAATCGTGCAATGCGCAATTAATGATGAGACATAGAAATATTATTACAATAACATATTGTAATTGCAACTTTACAAGATTTGTTAGATTTAATTGAACAATGTGACAGGACTTCTTTGCAACAAAATTAATTAAGAAAACTTTTCAATTAATTAATTAAAGAACTATTCAAGGGAACGTTAAGGAAATTAGAAAAAACAGCTGATCCAAATTAAGTATATTGACAAGTTTGAATTATCGAGAGAAAAAAAACCAAGACAGTTCCAACTACTGAAAAGTTCCAAATTCTAATTGATGTAATTCAACACTGACTTTTATAAAACTATAATGATAGATTTGGACAGAAAATAATTAGGTTTCAGACATTATTTTGTTCACTATTCTTTAAATTTATAAAAAATAAATTTTCCTTGTTAGAAAGCTCGGATAGATAAAAGATAGCAAAGTTTGAAGGTTTGAGTGATTAATACTGTGAAAAAGTTTCTTTTCAAAAATATAAAAACTAACATGAATGGGTCTGTTTATAAACTTTTAAACAGAGGGAAAGGATCAATGATAATATGATGGAATATGTTTAAACGTTTCTTTAAAAAAAATTTTTATTTTTTCTGAGAAAATTCATTGACAACAAAATTAGTTTCAAGGAATAGGAAAATGAAAAATATTGTACGTCGCTTAATGCGTACAATATTGGTTTAATTTTTAATGAACTCTTTACCACCAAAAGAGCTAATGCCAATTATTGAATTAAGAAATCTTCAACTTGCAATGTAGTGAGCGGAAAAAAGAGAAGATTGTATTAAATTGTTGTTTACCATTAGAGCAAGCTAATCGACACCACTTTTAGAAGATTTTTCCAGTAAGCATTGGGGGGGGGGGGGGTGATGTGTTATCTTTATCTAATATCTTTATTGTCCTTCAAACTTCTGAACCAAGCTGAGGCGAAATTTTAAATATGAAAAAGTAGACTTACATGCTCTACTGGATTTTGATCAGCCTGGGCCCACTTTACTCCACAGGAAACTTTCAGCGTATTTTGACTAAAATAATAGAAATTAATCAAATGGAAAGCTTTTAAAAATTACTTTTAAAATATTTATTGATTTTACATTTTCCTTAAGCTTAAGTTAATTATATTTCTCTTAAAAAATCACAGATGAGTATGTTCAGTTTCAAATAAAAAAGACAGAGGGTTTGTCATATATTCTTTTAGTTTCAAATGTTGGAACCTTTGCAATTTTTTAGGCATACAAAAATGAAGAAGGCATGACATATTAGAAGATACAAAAGATATAAGATAGAAGATAGATGATAGAAGATGGAAGTTAGGAGAAGGAATATAGAAGATAGTACATAGAAGATAGAAGATAGAAGAAAGAAGATAGAAGATACAAAAGATATAAGATAGAATATAGAAGATAGAAGATGGAAGTTAGGAGAAGGAATATAGAAGACAGAAGATAGAATATAGAAGATAGAAGATAGAAGATAGAAGATAGAAGATAGNAGAAGGAATATAGAAGATAGAAGATAGAAGTCAGAAGAAGGAATATAGAAGATAGAAGATAGAAGTCAGAAGAAGGAATATAGAAGATAGAAGATAGAAGTCAGAAGAAGGAATATAGAAGATAGAAGATAGAAGTCAGAAGAAGGAATATAGAAGATAGAAGATAGAAGTCAGAAGAAGGAATATAGAAGATAGAAGATAGAAGTCAGAAGAAGGAATATAGAAGATAGAAGATAGAAGTCAGAAGAAGGAATATAGAAGATGGAAGATAGAAGTCAGAAGAAGGAATATAGAAGACAGAAGATAGAAGATAGAAGATAGAAGAAAGAATATAAAAGATGGTACATAGAAGATAAAAGAAAGAATATAGAAGATGGAAGATAGAAGATAACAGAGAAAAGATATATAGATAGATAGATAGATAGAAGATGATGTACCTAAACTGTCCCCAGCCGAAGATGGGTGGAACAGCACATGAGAGCGTGTACAACCAGATAAAGATGAGAGTAACTAAGCTGGAGAAGTTAGTTGAGAGAGGAAACTGTCTGTCCTGCAATATTTTCACTTTAAGATCGAATCATTATTCTAAATCTTTCTTTTATTTAGACTAAAATAAGAATGGAAATTTTTCTAGTTTAAAAAATAGAAACTTGGAGAACATTCTCCCTCCCCCCCTTATTCCTCCAATTTCTCCGAACCTGATCTCTATGAACCCAGTCCTTTACTAAATAATTCAAGAATTGTCTTCCCGAGCAAATTCTATATCCCACCTTTTAGAGTTTTAAGTTAAAACTCCCAATGTATCTACCCTTCAAATTTAAACTAGGATATAAAGGAATTGTCAGTGTATCCAGATGTATCTACCCTTCAAATTTAAAATAGGATATAAAGGAATTGTCAGTGTATCCAGATGTATCTACNCAATACAATACAATACAATACAATACAATACAATACAATACAATACAATACAATACAATACAATACAATACAATACAATACAATACAATACAATACAATACAATACAATACAATACAATACAATACAATACAATACAATACAATACAATACAATACAATACAATACAATACAATACAATACAATACAATACAATTCAATGCAATACAATACAACAAACGAAAAAACTACATTCTGAGTTCTGGCCCAAAAATCGATTCGAATTTTGCCTATTACTCCTCTAGATACAGCTTACTCATCTTCACTTCAAAAACAGTCCATGGTTTCGATAGTTGGTGAATATATCCCTAACTGTTTAGTATTAAGATTGTCAATCTAACAGATAATGCCATAAACCGCATGTTCTTCATCATTTGTAATTGATTTTAAACTTTGCAATTTGTCACAGTTTCCTTTTTGCAATTTTTTGCAATTTTCAATCACAATACATTCTTGGATTGGACAGAACGAATTTAAAATGTTAAGAACAAATATTTTGCTCAGAAGTAAGGGGGAGCATTGTAGCAAATAATAAAGTAAAATATGACTTTTCACAGATGTTTTGAAGCCTCCTGAATGCTGTAAAAGCTTTAGAAAACGGTTAAAAAAATAAGCCCATTTCACTTATTATAAGATTCCGAAGTCAAACATATTAAATGTTATAAAAAAGAATTTATCAGAATTTAACGAAATTTATTATCATTTAATAAATTTCATCATTATCAAAAAAAATTTATCTTATCAAATAAACTTTAATATTATCAAATAAAAATTTTATCATCAAATAAAAAATCAAATTTTAAATAAAATTTCTTTACTATTGTCATGATATTTACCTAGGTAGGTCATCCCGAAGGCATTAGCCTGACACATTTGACTCGAAAACATCCATTGCCTTAATAAAAAAAGGTTTAAAAAAACGTCACAAAATATTTATGGAAGAAAGGCCTCTAGTCCCTACGCTCATTCAAAATTTGAAATTGAAATTTGCAACATACGACTCGGATCGTAACAAAATCAATTTGATTCCAAACAAAGCATTCAGATATTACATTTTATAGTCATCGATTATTTTTCGACGCATTCGTATATAGTTAATATTTCATAATATATTTTACTTTCTCTGATCTGAGTGACTTTTGAAAACATTCATTCCTGTTTCGAGGATTTGATAATGAAGACTACATTTTCCATATTTTCCGTGAATGCGCCAGTCTTGAAAACAAGTTATAAGCGAAATATCAGCGAAATATTATGAAATGTCAACTATATACAAATGCGTCGAAAAATAATCGATGACTATAGGATTTAATATCTAAATTATTTGTTTGATATTAATTTGATTTTTTACGATCCAAGTTCCAACTTCCACAATTTGTATGAACGCTTCGTTCTACGGTATGAGACGCCATATAGACGCAACAGATAGAAGTAAGATTAGTAGCGATCAAAAGCGATTCTTTACCGCCGTAGGCCTATACCCCCTTTATTTTTTCCCTTTAAACATTGGTCAACCATTATAATTTGTTACAACCTCAGAATGAACTTTGTGATAATGTATTTTTTTATATTATTTATAAAACTATGGAGTAGAAAGACAGTTCAGTTCAGTATTCTTAAATGTATTTGTAACAAAGAAAATATAATCAATTTATAAAATGAAATGGGTCATTTTACACTGTGAAATCGGTGTCTTTCTTGTTCATTAGACTATTTAAAATCAGAACTTGAGTCTAACAGACATCTTCCTGTTCCAAAGTTGTATAAGTTCTACAGTAGCTTAACTATTTCTATTCATGCATAATTGTTGACTATGATTGATGTTTTTATCAGAAATGTATTTTTAAAGGAAATCGCCTCAAACTCTACTATCAAACTTGGTCTAGCAGAATTTATAGTTTAGAAGATATAAAGATTGAAAAATTAAAGTTTGAGGCAAGTTTTCAGTTTCTTTAAATCTTTATCTGTTTTTATATCAATACTGAAGAAAAAACCTACTGTTATCCATCAGTTTTTAATTTTTTTAATTAATTATCCCTATACACATTATATTGCACATTCAGAAAATCTTAATGCAGCGAGGCTCGAATATGACACTCCCGTGGGGCTTGGATAGAGATATTGAGGCTAATAGCGACATGCCCTCCCTCCCCCCACTCTCCCTCTTGGGAGTAAGGAAATAATGAATTCTGTACGGACTCCATGAACTAAGTAAATAATGAATTCTGTTACATAATAGAATCCATGAACTAAGTAAATAATGAATTCTGAGAATTGAATCCATAAAATTGAAGCTTAAATTAATTTTCTACTTCCAGTGTTCTGAATAAGTTATACAAACCGGCTCAAGATATAAATTTGTCGGATCAGAGAATCTGTTTAATCTAAAAAGAAAGTCAAAAATAGATTTATTTCGATTTAAGGCGGTAACTAGTAAGTCGGTTTATGTTGGTAAATCATAACCGTTAGTAGACTTATTTTGATTTAAGGCGGTAACTGGTAAGTGGGTTTATAATTTTAAATCATAACCGTTAATAGATTTATTTTGATTTAAGGCGGTAACTGGTAAGTCGGTTTATGTTGTTAAATCATAACCGTTAGTAGATTTATTTTGATTTAAGGCGGTAACTTATAGTAAGATGGTTTATGTTGGTAAATCATAACCGTTAGTAGATTTATTTCGATTTAAGGCGGTAACTTATAGTAAGATGGTTTATGTTGGTAAATCATAACCGTTAGTAGATTTATTTCGATTTAAGGCGGTAACTGGTAAGTCGGTTTATGTTGGAAAATCGTAACCGTTAGTAGATTTCTTTCGATTTAAGGCGGTAGCTGGTAAGTCGGTTTATGTTGATAAATCGTATCCGTTAGTAAATTTATTTCGATTTAAGGTGGTAAGTGGTAAGTCGGTTTATGTTGATAAATCGTAACGGTTAGTAGATTTCTTTCGATATAAGGCGGTAACTGGTAAGTCGGCTTATGTTGATAAATCGTAACCGTTAGTAGATTTATTTTGATTTAAGGTGGTATCTGGTAAGTCGGTTTATATTGGTAAATTGTAACCGTTAGTAGATTTATTTCGATTTAAGGCGGTAACTGGTAAGTCGGTTTATGTTGATAAATCATAACCGTTAGTAGATTTATTTCAATTTAAGGCGGTAACTGGTAAGTCGGTTTATGTTTTTAAATCATAACCGTTAATAGATTTATTTTGATTTAAGGCGGTAACTGGTAAGTCGGTTTATGTTGGTAAATCGTAACCATTAATAGATCTATTTTGATTTAAGGCGGTAACTGGTAAGTCAGTTTATGTTGGTAAATCGTAACCATTAATAGATCTATTTTGATTTAAGGCGGTAACTGGTAAGTCGGTTTATGTTGGTAAATCGTAACCATTAATAGATCTATTTTGATTTAAGGCGGTAACTGGTAAGTCAGTTTATGTTGGTAAATCGTAAATATATAAACCTTGTAGGTTTGCACTATTGTTCATAACTAATAACACTGTTTTAAGTTAATTTTTACATAGAATTCTTTCCCTTTTAGTTGATTAAAAAAAATATATTATTTTGTGCTCTTGTCACATCAAGTGCACTGATGAAAAGAATTGTGCAAAAAAGTTTAATTTTGTTCTTTTCATATTTCTTTAGCTCCACCACTCCCCCTAAACCTCATTTTCTTCCTTGTATCCAACCCCCTATCCTTAAATAAGGGGTTGTTTCCAAAATCTCGAAATTAAACTCACGAAAATCCGCGAAACATGTCGATATCAATATTGTGCAGTGTAAATACACTTTACACTGTACACCCAGTGCATGCAGTACCTGTTGAATGAGTTGATGGCGAGCAAGGAGTTCCCGGTGCAGGAGATGATCAACTCCGTCACAGAGAGGTTCATCAGGATAAAGTTGAACGGGGTTCTCAGCTAAACAAAGTAAGTTTTCATGAATAAAGGTGAAACTATTTTATGGAACATGGCAAATACTTTTTGCATCAGCAAAATATCATACAATAGCAAATTAGAAGCAACATTTGAAAAAGGAAAAAATTCAAAATTCAAAACTCATTTGGTACTTAACCATTTCACATTTTAAAAACTGTAATCATGATGGTGGGTCATATGGCTAAAAAAATGGTTTATTTAATACAAATATCTATTCAAACCCCGTTCTTTTTCTTATAGTTTATTTAAATTTCATGGGACTTTCATAAATTAAACATTTCTGAACAAATATTTTAATACCCATCTGAATTCCTTTTGACAAAATTTTATTCCTAGCTTAAATTCGTGATTTGATTTACACAAAAAAAAAGCAAAAACTAAACGAGTTCGAAATTATAAAAGCAAAATTCTCAAAATTATTTTAGAAATGTATCAAAGACAACTTTAAGACTGGTGCTTGGTGAATTTAAGCATGTTGTGGCAGAAGAATATTTCACGCTCTTGATTTTAGAGAAGATTGTATATACTGAGATATATCAACCAACAAAAAGGCTTTAAAATAAGGCATTTAGACAGAATATCTAAGGACTCAGGCAGGTTAAAAAGCTCCAATTTAAGCGTAAAGTGAGTTTGTTGTACTAGTTAGAACACAATTACTAAATTATGTAAAAAAATAAAATTGATGCATACTGTTTAAATATATTTTATGAAAAAAAGGTATAATTCATAAATATTTTGTGGAAAAATATGAATAAAATTCTAATTATATCTTAATAAAGAGCTATTACACAGTATGCAAAGAAAAATTTGAAAAGAAAAACAGTTACACAACATTTTTCTATTCATATTTTTTATAAAAAAAATGTATAAAATAGAATAAAATTAATATCTTTTGTTTTTACTCTCTTCTTTACGTATGTTATTTTAACCTAACTGAAAAGAAAATCAACATGATATTAAGTTCTAAAAGAGCTGTTGAACCAAACGAAAAGTGTTTTTAGAAACCATTAAATCGATAAACAATACCTAAATACATATCAGATATAACATATGATATAGTATATAGATTATGACAACACGAAATATACATTGAATAAATCTTATGTTTCTTATCAGTACAGTTATATAACTATAATAATCTATAAAATTATTAGGGTAGTCATATAACTATAATGATATATATGACTATTAGTGCACCTATATAACTATAATCATTTATATAACTATTAGGACAGTTGACTAACTATAATAATCTATAAAACTATTAGTACAGTTATATGACTATAATAATCTATATAACTATTAGTACAGTTGAATAACTATAATAATATTTATAACTATTAGTACAGTTATATAACTATACTAATCTATATAACTATCAGTACAGTTATATAACTATAATAATCTATAAAATTATTAGTGCAGTCATATAACTTTAATGATTTATATGACTATTAGTGCACTTATATAACTATAATCATTTATATAACTATTAGGACAGTTGAAAAACTTTAATAATCTATAAAACTATTAGTACAGTTATATAACTATAATAATCTATATAACTATTAGTACAGTTGAATAACTATAATAATCTTTATAACTATTAGTACAGTTATATAACTATACTAATCTATATAACTATTAGTACAGTTATATAACTATAATAATCTATATAACTATTAGTACAGTTATATTACAGTTGAATCTACAAAAATCTATATAACTATTAATACAGTTGAATAACTATAATAATATTTATAACTATTAGTACAGTTATATAACTATACTAATCTATATAACTTTTAGTACAGTTATATAACTATAATAATCTATATAACTATTAGTACAGTTGAATAACTGTAATAATATTTATAACTATTAGTACAGTTATATAACTATACTAATCTATATAACTATTAGTACAGTTATATAACTATAATCATTTACTATCAAAAAACAAAAGAAAGTTAACAAAGGGAGTATTTTCTCTTATTCTATTCATTATACAACTTCTTTGTATTTTAGTTTATCATATTCATGACAGAATGTATTGTACAAATTGTACTACACTAACAAGTCTTCATCTTTTTTAATGTTCAACGCCGAAATAAAATATTTAAAGTTTGTTCTCAAAAGCAAAGGTTCTTAAAAATTTGCTGTTCACTGAAGGAAAAAAGTCATGGCGCAATAAAAGTAACTTCTCTGTATTAAAAATGTTTTAAAAGGAAAAACGTAAAGAAATGAATTAATTTAAACTTTCACACCTTGAAAATAAACTTTTGCAGGAAAATCTTGACAGATTATCTTTATGCTTATGATTATGTGCATCCATGATGTTTAACAGCATGATATAAATCAAAATTGAAATCGAAAGTCTTCTCAAGGTGTCTCAAAATTAACGGGGACTAAGGGTCTACATACTCGTTTGTATTCGGATTTTCAAGATTGAGGCCATTTTTAAAATCTACGTAAAGTTTCCGATTCACTGAGTCCTATTTTAGGCTTGTAGATCTAAAAATAACAATTTTGCTCAAGAGTAAACTGTAACCTGATATTGAATATAAAATGGTGGTAAAGGAGATTATATTTTACTTTTTACTTCGCTCCAGTTGGAAACTTTAGGAGCCTGTAAAATTGTTAGTTTTATATCACAAGCCTAAAATTGGGCTCATTCAATCGGAAATTATAAGTAAATATGAAAAATTATCTCAATCTTGAAAATCCGATTAAAAGGAAGTTTGTAGACCCTTATACAAACGATGATTATCTTATATTTACCAAATTACTCACTTTAAGAGACTTTAAAATTGTTATTTTTTTATCTATACAACTTTAAAAATTGGGCTTGTTGAATCGGAAATTGTGCGTAGATTTCAAAAAGGGGCCCATTTTTGAAAATCCTTTTACAAACGAGTATGTAGACCATTACTACCCGGTTTGTATACACCCTGTATGATGTTTGTCCGTTTTTCTGTATACGATCTACTTTAAAATGGCTGAACTGACCGGGCCCAAGACCCCCAGGTAAGGATGGTAAAAATAGAAAATGTGCCTAATAATTTCTTTTTTTAAATTTTAATAATCGATCAAAAATTTACAGAAAAATCCGCATTAACACCTTGTTAAAAGGCTTTATAAAAGTTTTGAGGATCTCTTTAGAGGATACTTTTAAAAGGTTTACTTTAATTTTCCCAATGGTATTTTAGTGACGTATGCTATGTTTTCCCGACAGTTGATTAGTTTCGTTGCCGTGGATTTGGGAATATTTATGATTGACCATACTTGATTCATCCACATTACATCATAACATTATCTATATATTTAAAGTTGTAATCTTGTCTGCTTGTTTATCCGATCATAACCCAGGAACCCCTGGGACCGGTTTGCCTCAAATTTTGATTGGGGAACTGGGTAAATCCACGGGAATTTTCTTTCCTTGGTTTTGAGATTCTTAACTGAGTGGGTTTACTTGTATAGGGTAAAAATACCTAAAATCAATATTTACGACAAAGCGCGGGTAAACGGTGGGAGTAACTATGACTACCTTGAGCTAATAGAATATAATTCTGTACTTTCACCTATATCTAGATATATGTTAAGTATTCTCTGTTTGTTTGTTTATTTGTTTGTATCCTCGATCATAACTCACAAACCAATCGGCAGATTTAATCGGGGTCCTCGATAAACCAAGGGAATGGACAATGGTTTAATAATCATAAAATGAGTAGGTTGATTTTTAAGAGAACGCTTAGTTCCTTGCGTTATTCAACAACCTTGTGTTATTATATTTATATAGCCTTAATTACTAGTTGGAGTACCCAGCCTTGCCTAGCTTTAATGTATTATTCATCATAGTTAGTTTTCCCGTTTAATAAAACATTTGGTCTATGAAACTGTTATGTTACTATGTTATGTTTTGTTTTGTTGTACCATGTTCTGTTATAATCTCATTTGTAAATATAACTTTATTAAAAGTACAAATCAAGATCACAACTTACTTTCTTGGTTGTCACAAATAGAAAAATCGCGATCACATTCGCCAGAAAACCGGTTATACCAGTTATCATTGCCCAGATTCCCATCAAGTAGAAGAGAACTATCGGGGGCGCAGGATCTAACTCGTTACTCGAGTTTTCGTACATTTTTTCTACAGAAGCACGCATTCTTTTAAGATATTCATTTTCAATATTTTTTTGGGGCCAATTTGGAGGAACAAATAACTTTAAAATTAAGGACTTAAATCATATAATAAACATTCAATATTTCAATTGTCAAAAAAGAAATTGAGTCTTTTCCATGAACTCTGATTTTCTGATCCCAATAACTTTTCAACTAAAAGTTGTAGACCTTAGATATTTCAAACTATGAGTTTTGTTAGAAGAAATGACCTAAATTTTAAATATATATGGTCTATGACATTAGGTTGCAAAGATATAAGGATAGAGAATCAGAGTTTGCTACCAAGGCTCAATTCTTCTTGGATATAATCCCGTCTCTGATCTGAAGAAAAGCCTTGAATAATTGTTAAATCTGTTGAGAGGATGAGGATTGGAAGAGAACTGTTCGGAGTCTAGGTGAGGGGGGTCTCTTTATAGATTCTAAACCTCTAGACACCAGTAAGCCTTACTTATCCATTCCATACAACAGAGCTGTTAGGTTCACAGGAATGTTTACAAGAATATGCAATATGCATGCATATTAGGGGTGATCAATATTGGAATTGAGCCAACCAACCACCGCGGAGGTTGCTGGGTTTTCACTTTAAAAAATATATTGCAAAAAAAAATTCCAAAAATCGCCCATAGGTTTTTGACGATTTAATATCGGAAAATTCACCGTACGGCCTCAAAAAAATATTTCAAACATGTTTATTTTACACATCATTTTCTTGGAAATTTCATGCTGAATTCAAATCTAAAAAGCGCTTTTAAAAAAATTGAAAATTGAATAAGTTAGAGCTAGAAAACTCCTCAAAAAAATCTGAATCGGCATGAAATTTCTAAGAAAATGATGTATATCCATATTTAATTTCATTGAATTATTTTTTTAGGCCTTACGGTGATTACTTCGCTATTAAATCGTAAATTTGAAACCCTAGGGACGATTTCGAAATTTTTTTATTGCAATATTTTTTTCAAGTAAAAACGCAGCGACCTCCAGTAGGCGGTTGGCTGATTTCTTTAAAAAAGTCACAAATCAATCATCTTAATGCATATGGTTCAGGGTTACACATAAATAATGAGACTTCAGAGCTAAAAACTTGAGAATGGTGGATATCGAGATTAATGCTTAATCTCCTCTTTTTCTTAATCTTTTTATATCTCAAGATTAATTAACCGATCGGGATTAAGGATATTCCATTCAAAAGTTTTCAGCCCAGATGTACAGAGTTTATACAGTCTGTTTTCTTATATGCAGGATTGCATGCAACTGTAAACCTGTTTCTTTCTTTGACAAATTTGTTAACAATTAAGCCATTAAAAGACTATATTCAAGGCTAACTCGGAATGTATGGTAGTTGAACTGAGAATGTAGTATTGTGGAGAAATTTTTTAGGATTTATTTGAGACATATGAAACGTTTTAATGATGTAAAATTACTGAGTTTGAGCGACGTTCAAAATCATTCATTTGGGTTGATCGGTTTGAGAATCGATTTTTTTAAATTATCAAATAAAGACGACAAAAAATCCACAATAAACTGATGGCAAAATAGAAACAAGTTCAGAAAATAAAAATTATCTCTTATCATCAAACATAAGTAATCTTATTTATTTATTGGTTTCTGTAATGTCTCCTTGTTCACAAACGTTTTCTGTAGATTTCCTGAAATTGTTATTGAATAGACGACATTTGAAGAAAATCTGCGAACATATTTGTAAAGAAAAGAAATTCAATATAATGATGAAAAAGAAATAATTGATTGTAACATTGATTTACTAACAAATTTCTTTTGAGAAATATGTTTCTAAACATCAAATTAGTTCACTGTGGAATTCTTTTTACATTTTTGTCATTATTTAACAACTTTTAAAAATAGATTCTCAAACCGTACCCACCCAAAAGAATGATTTTGAACGTCGACTTTGCGCTCAAGTCAAATAAATCCTAAAAATTTCTCCACAATACTACATTCTCAGTTCAACTACCATACATTGACGGTCACTCTCTTTAAAAGATTAAAAAATGTTATTTAGTATCTTACATCTAGATAAGATCTCTTTAAATTTAGAAAACATCTTTTTTTAGTTATTTCTGAAACATCCAAAACATCTATTTGATTAGACATATTTGATATAAATAACTGTATATGTATTTATAATAACAAATGTTATGTTCACAGTAGGATAAAAGACAAGGCCATAGTACAAATAGGCTTTTAAAGGGACTGATGGCGAAATTTCAAGTGACCATGCATTTTGTAACATTTAATCCCTTGATATCGTTACAATCCCAGACATAAATCCAAGGGAAATCAAGATCAATCGTTGTCCCCCATCATTTGAGGGTTGAACAAAGACATGAAGGTGTGAGGCCAGGGAGGGTTTTCTTGCCATGAGTCATCCATACTTTAAATATTACAATTTATAGAATGACATAGGGTTAAACGACTTAGTTCCTTCAGATTTAAAAACTACATCTTTGAAAAGCCCTTGAAAAATGAATCTTAAAACATGTGTCACACTTTGATATTTGTTTTAAACAAAAAAACATTTTTTTCATTTTTTGACCATTTTTTTACATTTTTTGAAATCCTCCCTAGCACCAAACTATTAAAATTATCGGTCTATTTTTTCAATGAGCTGGCCCTTAAAAGTGCATTTCAACCCAGTACCTATCTTCTAATACTTTTTTCTACGGGAGGGGGGGGGGGGCTCCGCACGCCCCCCGCCAGCCTATATATATTCAGACCCCCCAGTCTTTATAGGATTAAAGGGACTGTGGACAAACTTGAAGTGTCCGACCATTTATAGAGGAGCATTCACGAATCACAGCGGCACATGTTTACCTCTGAACAAAACGTTGAACTTTCTATTTAAAATTTTTTTTTCAGTTGTGGTCGCGGACTTTCCCATTGTTGCTTAGATACAAGATTCACGGTATATCAGGTGCTAGTTGAGCAAGAGGACATCCAGAAGACCGCCATCATCACCCCCTCTGGGATGTTTGAGTTTTTGGTGATGCCGTTTGGTCTGCGAAACACTAGTAATACTTTTCAACGTTTGATGGAACAGATCTTAAAGGGGCTGTAAAGAAAAAATGAAAGGGAGTATGGGATGAAACCTGAGAATCTCAGGTGTTGAACGATTCATATCTATCCAGGGACGTAAATAAGGATTCTGTAGGGGTGGTAAATTTTTCTAATGTGGTGCGCGAAGAGCGCCGAATTTTTTTTACCCCCCCCCCTCCCCACAAGAAAAATATAAAAATATCATTATGTATATCAAATTATTGGTTTTAGTTGGGTTTGATTTGCATTTTCCACTCATTTCTGGCATTTACAAACTCCATCAAATAACGGCTTCATTTCCTACCTTTCAGCTTTCACCTTGTTTTATATCCTTCATTATAGTCATTCATTTTACATTAACTACAAAGATCTGTAAAAAAATTAATTTATGTTAGGTAACATTAAAAATAGTTTTACTCTAAGAGGAAAAGGATGTTACTTTTTTAATCTTTAGAAAAGCTACTCTGCAAAACTTTGAAAAAATATTGTCTTTGTTTATATTCTAATTTCAATTTCTAAAATTTTCTTGTCGTCAATGTATGTTAAGATCTTTAATAAATCTAATATGGAAATGACATTATTTAGAAGTAAAAATGTATTCTTCATTGCCCATACCTTTTTTTCTATTAAAAAAACATCTAATTATAATGATATTGACTGTATACTTTAGAATTTAGAATCATTTAGAATATGTTAACTTAAAATTTGAAATATCTGAAGTATCTGCACATTTAGATTATTTTCGTGCAAATTTTAAAGATATTCAATTTTAAAATCAACCTTTTTTTAAAAACAAATTCTAGGGGGGGGGGGTTAATTACCCCAGGATTCTAGGGGGGGGGGGTAAATAACCCCAATAACCCCCCTTATTTACACCACTGCATCTATCAGATGTTCCTGTCTCGAGAAATTGATATGAAACTGTGTCAAAGGAATTGAGTCTTTGCCACAAACTCTGATTTTCTAATCCCTATATCTTTGGATTCCAACGTCACAAAGCTTTGACTTTCAAACTATGACTTTTGAAATAATATAAGTTTGAAATATCAAAGGTTTACGACATTGGGTTCCAAAGATATTGAGATTAGAAAATCAGAGTTTGTGGCAAAGACTTCCATTGGCTGAAGTTCCCGGTGACGTAATACAGACTATACTATACTATAATTATCAACTATGTGTATTAAAACAATAAAAAATAAAAAAAGCATCTATGGAAGTTTTTCTCCACTGTCGTGAGTATGGTTTAACCATTGGCCTGCCCAAGTGCCAGTTGGCTGTTCCTGATGAGTTCCTTGGTCATCGTCTCTCACAGCCATGTTACACTCAGGGTTATACCCACAAAGAATGAGACTTCAGAGACAAATGTACAGAATTTTTTAGTCCATGTAGGACAAAGCTGGCTTATTTCTAAGCTTAAAAATTTAGTGAACCATCAAAATACTCCATTGAATGCAGAGACCAAAAATCAAGCTTCACATTGTCATATTTTTAAAGTTTTGGATCGTCCTTGCTAAAAACTTGCTCTTTCAAACAGATTTGAAATTTAAAAAACATAAACTTTAATATTTATGCGAGACATACTTTAATTTAAAACAGATCGATTGCAATGATTTGTCCATGCAATTATTTTACCCATCCTAGTATTTGGTTTCTTTGGGACATACTCAGCTATCTCATCTTAGCGACCTAATATTCTCTCTTATAGTACAAGAAAACTAAACCTGAAACCTCAAAAAGGATTTGACTCTTTGCAACAAACTTAAATTTTCCAATCCCAATATCTATCGAACCTGATGGTGTACATCTTAAATATTTCAAGCTTAGACTATAAGCTCAAGCAGAATTAATAGTTTAAAATATCAATAACAACATTTGGTTGCAAAGATATAGAAGTTAGAAAATCAGAGTTTGTGGCAAAGACTCAATTCCTTCAGCCTAAAATTTTTGGTATTTTTCAAACAAATACACAAATACACAAATACACAAATATACAA